CCTGCCGTGGCATCTTCCCTGTGTTGCAGTTGCCGACATTGAGCTTTCTTGTTCCCAGGTTTATTACAGTGCCAGCAAAGTCCCTCAAACTTCTCTGAAAGCTGCCATTTTTTTGGCCTTGAATCCTGATGACTGTACCAACCTTGGTACTTCTGTGCTGGACTTAACATAAGATTCAAATCAAAGAGCTCTGGCCATTGCATCCTGCATAGTAGAGGAGTGTGCTTGCTTCACTTGTATCTTTAGTTGTGGACCGTCCAAGCCATCTACAAACTGATCCCTCAGCAACAACTTGAGGACATCGGGTGGTGAAGTTGGGTGGGCCTTATGTGCCATACTTTCCAAATCCTGTGCCAGCTCTTGCAGGCTCTCCCCTTTAGCAGGGACTCTCATTCTAAACCTAGCCCTGTAGACTTCGGACTGATTTTGAGTTCCATACCTGAATTCTAGAGCAGCTACCAGTGCTCTATAGTTGTGCCTGTCATCTGCTGACAACTGTCCAAGTATTTCCAGTGGTTGTCCCTTCAGGCTTATTGCCAGGTACACTGCTTTCTGCTCCTCTCTCCATCCATTCATTTCTGCCAGGAGCTCAAATTGTGCTCTATATGCTTCCCATGGTGCCTCCCCATCAAATTCCTATGGCTTCCTTCATACTAGATCACCCCTATTGCTGACACTCATGTCTGGAATGTGACTTCTGGCAGAACTGAAGATGTCTGCATTAGGGTTTAGCTGCGGGGTCTGGAAGGGGCTTCCTGTTGTCTGGACCTGATTAGGTCCATGGCTAATATGTCCTCCCTGTGTAAAAGATAGTAAATCGTCCTTTAATGTATTTAATTCACTTTGAAATTTACTAATCTTTTCCATTTGTAATTCTTGTTCCAATTGCCACTGGTGCTGGTTTTCTTGCCACTGCTGTAGTCTCTCTTCTTGTTTCTTTTCTTTCTCCTCCAGCCACTGCTCTAACCTCTCTTCTTGTGTATTTTCTCATTCCTCTTGTTTCCTTTCTTTTTCCTCCAACAACTGCTGTAATCCCTCTTCTTGTTTATTTTCCCATTTTTCTTGTTTCTTTTCTTTTCCTCCAACAACTGATGTAATCTGTCTTGTTTATTTTTCTGTTCAAGCTGCCTCTGTTGCAAGTTTTCTTGCCACTGCTGTTGTCTCTCTTCTTGTTTCTTTTGTCATTCTACTCTGACACCAATTTGTTACGTATCTGCTTGTTTGATAATTTGCAGTAAAAATTCTTTCCGAGAAACTTCAGTGATACAAGTCCTTTCTTAATTGAAGCTAGTTTATTCTTTCTCAGTTCCTATGGTTGTGTGCAGTAAGGGCCCCTCATCTTGTTAATTCTGGTTACAGGAGGTTCTTTCCTTGCCTCCACGGTTGAGTTTGGGGGACTTCGTCTGCCTCGTAATACCAGCTACAGGACATACTTACACTGTTACTATGATTACGTAAATGTTCCATGTCCTCCTCATAATTCCAGATGCAGGATGTCTCTTTTCTGTATTTATGGTTAAGTGGTTTATGATTTCTGCTTGTAATACCAGTTACAGATATTACCCTGTTCTTGCAGTTCAGTTGAGGCAACACCATGGCCTTGTAATGTCGGGTTCAGTTTGTTGCACTTCTTGTTCCCACAGTGGTTTTGGAGGTTTGTCCTGTTTTGGCCTAAAGCTAACTTCCTCTTCGTAATTCTGGTTGCTTGACATATGACACTTTGTTTACGTACGGTTGGGGTTGATGAGTTTATGTAACATAGTCCACATTTCCTAGCCACTATGTTTATGTTACAGTATATTTGTTTTTATCTTTTTGATCCTCAACCTCCTAATGCTGAGGACGAATTATGGAACCTTGTCTGTCCATAGCTAATTCGGTTTCTATGGATTGCACCTCTCAGAAGAAATTGCACTTGCAAACATCTTTTATTCTGCCTTTATCGGATTCATTTCCTACTTCAAAAGCAAAGAACATACCTGTTCCAGAAGTTATGCAGTACTCCACATATGTGCTTCGTTTTCATCTCGGAGCACACCCATTCATTCTGGGCAGTTGCATTTTTTTTGGTTTCAATGTTATGAGCCTAAACTGGCCCCCTCCACCTTTGCAATGTGGGATTCTAATTATGTGTGAAAAGGAGGTAAGACCATATTGGAAGTTAACATTTTTTGTATGCTGAAAATGCATTTCAAATAGGTACTTACCTCCTTTCACACACTTCCCACCCTTCCTTCCCAATGCTGGTGTTCTTCTTTTAGTGCATGCCCATTTCAAAGTGAGGATTGGGCAGGAATAGCAGAGGGAGCTAGCTGCACCAATATAGGTGGAGAATGGTCACATGATATGTACATGTTCAAAAATGGCATGACATTATGGGGAATATAGACTACTGTGCTTGCATGAAAATTTTTTAGCAATGCTTAGAGGGCAGAAAGAAAATTGAGATAGCTTTGTGTGAGGAGAGTTAAGTACCTATCAGAAATATGTTTTCAGTGTAAAAAAAAATGTAAACTTTTATATTTTCAACTTGAACAGGCTATAACTCACATTTTACATATGAAGCTACTTCTAACCCTGTTTTTAGTACTCTATCCCTAATAAGTTGATGTAAATACTCCTAGTAAAACTTAAGTTGGTAAGATTCATTGTAGGATATGAACAATGGCACAAATAATGGTAATGATTCTAAACATTCATATCTAGGGCTCAAATTTTACACTCACAACTTGCAAGTGTATTTTCTATAATACAAGTTAAATTTTTTCTACTTACAATTTTCTGTGACTGTATGCTTGCATGTGACACAAAATTGAATTAAAATACAAAACTGCAAAATTAAATTTTAAAATGATACTTACCTGTCTGCACCGCTAAGAGCTATTACAGCATGTGCAACTGCCATGGAATTTCATCAGCACTTCACAAGCTTTGAACAAACTCCCATCCCTACATGGATCAATGTGTATTGTGCCAGCTGATGATGTAATCATCACAATGTTGTAGCCCTCCACCAATAGGATGACGACACTCTGTTATAGTTAGTGTTATTGAGAATAACATTCACAGATTTCAGTTCCTTAAAAAGTTAGTGAAAACATATGATTTTAATTTTCTTTATAGTCCTTCACTTTATTTACAGTACATTTCTACTATAGGGTATGAGTATCCAATGGGTCACATAAAAAAGAAATGCAAGATAGGCAACATTTTAGGAGTACTTTTATAGTAGTTCTGTTAAACATTAATAATATACATAGATTATAAAGATAAAAAAGCGTTTTAACTCTTTTTTTTTCAAAAATAGCATAGTTTGAATAGTGAAATAATTTAAATTATTGAATTAAAACCAGTAAGATGGAGCAGTGCTTGCTACTTTATGCTGAATACTTCACATTTAAGCCACTGTTTCCACAAATGTGACTAAGCTTATGCTATTATGTATACTGGTTACTTCACACTTCCATTTTATATAATTGAGCTCGCTTTCTCTGTTTGATTAACTTAAATACAATTGAAAATAAATTGCTTTATGATTTGTTACTGCACTTCATATTCCATGAATGTGTTACTTTCCTTCATTCAACTGTTATACATTATGACCAGTATATGTGTGCTCAATTATTTGTACCCTATATAGTTTTTATGCTATTAATAAGGCCTTTGATGTTTTTTTTATATAGTTGATTCTTTATTTTACAAATATTTCAATTACACATGACTTTTTTTCCTTCAGCAAATGTTTGTGGAAATTTATCATACAACAAAATTAAATTTTAATTATTTTTCTCCAATTTTCCAGGTTTGATTGGTATTTTGTCAATAGTCAGCCAGTAGTTTGAAGTATAATTTCTTTTTTAAATTTGCTTTGTCCAATGAGATACATTGTTTTACAAATAACCCTAAATTGGAAGAGGAAATATTTGTGTTCATTAAGCTTAAATGTAGACCTAATTATAAAGTTTGTCCGTAATGATGAAATATATTAAATAATAATTGTTTTTGTATGCAAATTTTCATGATTTTTTTAACATGTAGTAATTTGTATGCAACAATAAATATGTGTAATTTCCAGTTTAGTAAACTGAGCTCTTAATCCCAAATTAACATTAAATAAGTATATTTAACAATTCAAACAAAACCTTTCTCACTGGTGTGTGTACTGTAGTGTTTAAAAAGAAAATTAGGAAATCCAGGTAAATGTTTATATTTTTGTTTTGCTGTTTCGATTTTTATTCAGTATTTAACTAAAAAGTGGCTTCAGAGTTGTAACAAGTTCGGTATTTTTTGTGTATTTTAAGAAACCAAATGTGGCTGCTGTGTAACTATACCATTCAGGGTCAAGTTTATTGTGTTTTTCCACCCATTTTACTAAGATGTGACTAGTGCGTAACATCTATACCATTCAGTGGTTTAATAATGTGGGCTAAATTTGTGGTATTTTCTTGTCAATTAGTTCCATTCTTATAAAGTACAGGAGTTTCATGGATTTATTTACTTCATCTATTTCATTTAATATATTGACTAATATTTGGTTTTGTAGATTTTGTTATATGATGACTATTTTTCTGTAACAGCTAGACTTGTCTGGCATTTATATTAATAGATTGTTATAACAGGACACATAATTTACCATATTTCACTAAGTTAAGAGAAATGGGAAACAAACAACAACTAAGTCTTTTTTTGTAATTTTGATTTCAGATAATAAAAACTTGACTAATTTGGAAGTCCTGGATCTTTCAACATTCAGATGCTTACTTCGTAAAAATTGTATTTGTACTATGTAACTCTTAATATCTTACTTTTTTCACATTAAAAGATTATTCTGTTCAATACATTGAAGAGATAAGATTGGTTTTAAGATTGGAATCTTATTATATTGTGCTTGGTATTTCAACTAAACAAATCTGAACAGTTTGTAATTGTGTTTTCATGTTCAAAATATACTGGGTTTACTTTTATAATTTTATGCCTATTTTAGTTAAACAGGTGTGATTCATGTTTGATTCCTGGACCATATCTTTGGGTCTGTTTACATCGTGACTGTTTGTACGTGGGTTGTGGAGAAGCTTCAGTTGACCACAGTAGCAAACACTTCAAGGTGAGCCATATGTCAGTTTTGTTTTCTCAATAAAGGTTCTCCTTGATTATATCACTTCCTTTAAAGTTTTCTGTAATGTTTATGGAACTCAATTTCCTTGTTTTTATCTATGGTTTTATGTTTCATAAAACCTACATTATAGGTTTGATGGAAATAATTCTATTGTTAATAATTTAAAAGATTCCCCAAACCTGGAAAATAAGGGAAATCTGCTTGGGAATGTTGGAGAATTGAAGGGAATTGTACTATTATTCTCAAACATTTTCCATGTTATGTAATTTGGAATATGGAATAACAGTATAAAAGTGAAATACAGAATTTAAGATGTAAAGTATTTGATATTTATATGAGAAGAAAACACCTGAAAATATTTTCCATCTAGTGCTTATGTATATTTTGCAATGTAGCTATGGCAACATTTATTAATGCTGACCAAGGATTGGCAACTATGGTCACTAGAGTAAAACAGTTTCACCAAATTATAAGTTTGGAAATACTGTCAGAGAAAAATTGGTAATGTTATCAGAAAGACAAATATAAAACTTTGTGTGAGAACTTTGAGGTAACTCAACACAAAACTAATTGAATTTCTCTGTAATATGCATGTTTATACTTCATAATGTTTTTGAAGACTTACTATCATAATAAAGAAATTGTTTTTAATATTCTTTTTAAAACTGTATTTTTCTTGTTTTTGTAGTAAGCCACTAGAAATAAACAATATCTCAATAATACACTTAAGCTAAAATTAATGCATTTCAGCACATATTACCAGTATCATTTTGTCTGAGTTGTACCTTATTTTTGCAATATATGCATCCACATAGGAGAATGGTTTTAAGTTTTGTTCTCTTTCAAAAGTTTTAGTTGTAATTTTGATAATTAGTAATGCTAATTAAAAGGAAAGATTGTTTTGTTACAGTAACAATTTGTATTGGAGGTCAGATTTTGTAACTCTTTCCTGTATTACAGAAAGCTCTTCAGCTCCTGAAAAACTGCAAGTTTGATTACCATACGGTACTTACCTCCCCTCACAAAATTAGCTATTCTCGTTCAGTGCTGCCCTCTATAAGCGAACATTTTCTTTACGCATGCCACAAGCACTGTGCCCCCACCCCCTGTTGGAATCACTTTACGTGCAGAAATATAGAGACAAGAATGAACTGGTAAGAAAAACAACTCAGAAAGGAACCACTTCATGACGAAAAAAAAAACACATTGTTTGTCGCACTAAGCACACAAAAGAAGATGTCTGAACTCAAATGCTGCCAAACGAGAAGTGAAAGTTTGGTAGAGGAGTGTAGAGATGATGCATGATGATTTGCATTAGAGATGTGCTGGAATGACATTTTCTTGAGTTGTGAATTCCGAAGTTCAATTTACCACTTCGAGAATCACACCAACTCCCATTGTTTTTTCTCAGATCTCAGATGCGGGCAACCCCATCGTGGATTTCTCTGCTTTTATACATTGTGAGATTGAATGCAACATCGGTCAACCTTTGTCCCATGACATCACCCAAGTGTCTCTTGAATTGGCAAAAAGTTTTCAGAATGATGAGGATTTTGATTGTATTTTCCTGCCTTCAGAGTTTGCTGTTCCTTCCCAATTGCAACCTGAGGAATCATGTAGGTCTAATTCTCTCTTCACAGATTTTGTGTCTCAGGTTTGTGATGTTTTATCCATTTCCCCTATCTCTTCTTCACCTCGTCCTTCCTTGTTACATGAGTCATCTTCTCAACCATTTTTGCTATTTTCTCCCTCCCCTGATATTTGGTTACATGAGGATTAATCTGTCTCACAATTAAGTGAGGGGATCAGCATGCTGCAGCCTCCAAGGACTTCTGATCAATATGCCCTTTCTTACCATTGTGCGGACTATCCGTTTTTGGATCAGCAGTTGTTGGGTTCATTGTTACCTATTTGGGGGACAGCTCCGAAATCTAATGTTAGTCTTACCCATGCCCAATATTCTTGCTTTTGTCTTACCCTAATTAACCTTCTATGGTATCTATCTTTCATAAATATCTTATTGGATGCTCTCCACAGAAATCGTGAGCTGGTTTCTGTAGATACCCTTTACCTTCTGTCCTCCACGTTAGCCCTCATTTTGTCATCGAGTCTGGTGTTACATACGTGGTTTCTTTATTGTTGGGACCTTATAGGTAGGGATGCAGTATTGGCTTGGGTCAATTTACTCTCAACATATATCAGATACTTGATATATCAGGGATGATGTGGCCACACGCTTCCTTTTGCACAAACACTGGAGTTGAGCCATCACAATTAGGAGACTTCATCCTACCTTCACGTAGAAGTTGGTTCCCAGTGTAGAGGTTTTGGATCAGAGTGAACCAATCATCATAAGCCCTCACACAAGTTTGGGTTGTCTATCCTCCTCCCCCAATTGCTCCATCTGTGTATTTAATCACAGCAGTAGTACGTGAGATTGTTCTGGTGCTGTCCTTCACTATCCCTCATTCTCTTCTGATGAGGATGTTATTGCCTTTGGATAGTGCTGGCCTGTGCCATGGTTGGAGAGTTGATTTCATGCGATAGACATCCCTTCAATACTGGATGTCAATTCCTGGATCTATAGATTGATGATGATGCTTGTGTCATACCCAGAAATTGGTGCGAGTCTAAATCTCCAGTTATTGGGTTTGAGGTGAAGATGGTATGATCCTCACCCAACCCTT